AGCTGGAAGCGATCGAAGCTGATAAGGCCCCAGCGCGCGCAGGGGCTATCCTTTTCGGTCTGGGATTTACTGCTGAAATGCAAGATCAGCCAACAAGGTTAGATGTTTTTATCCGCTTTGCATAACTGGTTTTTAGTTTTGGTGTGAGTTTAATATGAACTTTACCGTATTTGTGGGTCCTCTGTCGTGTTCATATTCTAATCGTGATATATAGGCGATAACATTCCGAATCATGCAGGGTGTTTTCTGGTGGTTGGAGGATGCGTTTAGCTTTGGCTCGAGCGCTCTTCGCAAAGCCTGATTTGCTGCTTTTGGATGAACCTACAAACATGTTAGACATGAAAGCTATACTATGGCTGGAAGATTATCTTCAGGTAATTTAGATTTTATTAAGTAAAGCGGCGGTTTTCTGCAAGAGTACTGAATAGAATTTATGTACCGTTAGGTATACCTTAAAAAAAGTGAACGGTCTTATCCTTTTTTTAACGTTTATTTCTACTGTAGCTGTGCTCGTTGAATTTTACAGACATGGGCGTCCACGCTTTTATTCGTTTCCCACGACCGGAGTTTTCTTGACAACGTTGCCACTGACATCATGCATTTACATTCCAGACGGTTGGAATACTATAAGGGAGATTATTCTGTTTTTCTGAAAACAAAGGATGAAAAGTTAAAAAATCAACAAAAGGAATATGAATCACAGAAGCTTTTCATCGAACATAGCATGGTAAGCTAAATAGCTGCATATTATTTTACGCTGTACGGATTTTGAAATTATGATCGTCGTGTTGATTATTTATTTGTGACAAGAAATCGTTGGACAAATCTCAAAACATGTATTAATCGGCAGTAAAACGGCATCGGCTTTTGGTGCAGCTGGACAGTCATAATTACTATCATAACGCACGGATTGAAGATAAACTTTTATACTTAAACTGTATCAGGCTAACTGCTGTCCGTTCTTTTCGCAGGAATTTGTAAATAAATTCCGATACAATGCCAAAAGGGCATCTTTGGTGCAGAGCAAACTTAAGATGCTGGAAAAGCTGTAAGTGTCAAGATGTTCGTTTCTTACGTGTTAATGTTTTGCAAAGAAAGTTTTGTCCGATAGTCCCAAACTGAACCCCGTGGAAATGGAGCCAGATGTACATTTAAGATTTCCCGAAGTAGAACCATTGAGTGGTTGTGGTCTGCGATTAGACGAAGTCAGTTTTTGGTATGACCAGGCCCATCCCATATTCAGGAATGTGGATATCTCAACAAACGCTGACAGTCGAGTTGTGATTGTAAGTGGCGTTCACGCGACGACTAAGTTGATTACCGAGCTGGATTCTTGATTCGTAGGTTGGTGATAACGGAGCCGGAAAATCCACGTTGTTGAAAATTCTTCTTGGTGATCTTGAACCTAAGAAAGGTTTTCGTAGCGCCCATCGTCATTTGAAGATCGGATATTTCGCTCAACACCACGTGGATATGTTGGATTTGGATATGACAGCAGTTCAGTTGATGCAGAAAAGGTATCCTGGCCAGCCAATAGAAGAATATCGAAAATGTCTCGGGCGATTCGAAGTCAGCGGTGATATGGCCGTTTTACAACCACTGCAAACGTTTTCTGGTGGACAGAAATGCCGGGTAGCCTTTGCTGTTATGGCGTTCAACAAACCGAATTTTCTAATTCTGGACGAACCTGTAAGTTGATTTGTTCACGGAAGTTTTTTTAATTTCCCGAACGCTTTTTTCGATTCCGATATCAGTTGTTTCATCAGTACAGTATATCGTACAGTCTTCGTGTGGTTTTGTCAGATTCGAGTTTGTGCTACTAGTCAGTGATTAAGCATTTGGTGAACTTAGATTTGGTTAAATTTTTGATTCTGAGGCGACGAAACCCGAAGCACTATCTCTTCTGTTTGGTTTGGAATTCATCTACATAACATTAATTTTAACACTCCAAACAGCGCTCATTATCAATGTTGCGCGCGCGTTTTTATGAAATTTTGGTACGGGGTATCGACCGGCATATGTTTTGTTGTAGACAAATCATTTGGACATCCAGACGGTAGAGGCCCTTGCGAGAGCCTTGACGCAGTTTGAGGTAAGGTTTGAAAACTTTATGATTGGTAACATTGACTATCGATTGGCTTATATTACAAAATGTATTAATTCAGGGTGGCGTTATTCTGGTTTCCCACGATCAGCACCTCATTAACATGGTTTGCAAAGAAATGTGGCTGGTCACAAATCAAACCATCAAGATTCTGCCCAACGGATTTCCGGAATACAAGAAGATTATTCAAACAGAACTTGGTCAAAGAACTGCTTGATTTGAATTTCCGGTTTTATAGAGACTTTCTGTTATACAACAAAATTTTCATAATGGCAATAAAAGATCCTCAAACGGTCATTATATCGTCTCCATACCATGGCAGCTAACCGGCCCAAAAATCTTGACCGAATACTGAAAAATGTAGAAATTATACCGTAACAAACATAACAATATAAGAAATCCACAGCGCATATACTCGACTAAAAACATAGGCAATGCTGTTTATAAAAACGATCTCCCAACAGAAATTGGTCAACTATTAGGCAAAGACTATAAGAAAGATCAGCCACAAAACTAGAAGCATCAAGGCCACAATAGCGCCGGGATCCCGACAATTCCAAACAGTCGAAACACCGTCATACACACCATCAGCAGCGGATTGCGCTAAAGTCGCCGTACTGTTCAGTTCGTCCAAAACTTCCGATAGCTGAGACTCTGAGTAATTTCGTCGCCGCAAAACACACTCTGACAATTCCCCTTGGTACAGGAAGGAAGCCTCTCCACTGACACCATCTGTCGATGTTGCTGTATCAGCAGTGTTGACACCGACTGCAGTGCCTTTCATAGCATGCCCGTCTTCCCGTTCGTTGTTCCGTTGAGCAAGTTCCGCTTGAAGTTTAATCACAATTTCTGCAAACAAATAAAAGAAAACATTTAATGCTGAGCTGTTTTCCACAATTGCAACGCTACAAAAGGCAGAACAGTAATAAAGTAGGGTTTTTTCTGAAAAGTGATAATTTAAAATAAAAGCCCCTGCAAGGTATTCCGATAAATTCGAAGCTGATCGCTCAACAGCTATGCATCCCACTGATCCCAGTTTCAAATGTTATTTATGGAACAAACTACTTACAGTGGCCGTATATCGGTATATGTCAAATTAAGATAAACTTACCGGTCAGATTCTCATTCGCAGAAATCAACTGCTCCACGTCGTTATCTTCGTGAGACGACGCTTTAGCGTAATCCCCATCCATCGGCTCATTTGTGGCTGCTTCGTATGGGGGAGGACCGGAATGCTGCTGCATATAACCGGAACCGCGACTAAATTCCATATCATGAACCACCGATGTTCCGCCATCGCCCTGCCTCTGATTTTCCATTCTCATCACTGGCATTTCCTTTTGCGGTTTTGCAGGACTGAATTTGCCACCAAATTCCTGCAACAACTGCGCCACATTTTTCCCGTGGAAGATGTTATCCATGGCCGGCTGATTATGTTGTTCATATTCCTCTGCGGCAAGCCCATCTTCATCTTCACTTCCCCCAGAATACCCGTTATTTCTCGTTACGTCACCGGTAATCCGATCATAGTGGTTGGGCACGGCAAATCTATTTTCTGCAAAAACGGAGCATATGGGAAAGAAAATCCACTTAGACATGTCCACCATCTCAAACCTTTGGTTTCATCCAGCTTGTCTCGAAGACGGCGATTTTGATCAACTAAATCGTCACACTGTGTAACCGAAAAATTTTATTCATGGAACAATGAAAAGCATTCCCACATAAGCAGGTAATTTTGTTTTGAAAACTAACCAGTGATAGCTGCACGCTGTATTTACGATGTAAATCTTTCAGCTGTTCTTCCAAATCAGACTTTTCCGCTTTGATCTCAGTCAAACATTCGATTTTGATTCGTTCGGCGTCCTGAAATAAGAAAAAAAAATTATTCTTACGCTACAGGTCTATGGCCCCTTTACGAACTCTGCCAGTGCATAAGATACCGTAACAGTGTAACACGCATTACGCAATTACACGAATGATGTATATGCCAATCTTTATCTTGTTACGCACGAAACCTACTTGATAAGTTTTCGTAAGCGCATCGAGATCCTGCGTCTGCGCTTCAAATCTGTCCACCAGCTCCAGCAGATCCTTTCTCGTACTTTCGCAAATGGCTGTCAGATCATCACATTCGTTCTGTGCATGAGCCAGTTTCTCTTCGGCAACTGCTAAAGCTTTCACGGCTTCCAGCTTTTCGGTGTATGCATTGTGGAGTGTCTTCTTCGTTGATGCCTCGAATTCCGACCTGTCAGACAACTAAAGTAAATTTACGCAATCAAAACTTATATTAAGCGACTTACAACTCTCCAATACACATTTGTTTTCAAAGACCAGAAGAAATAATTAATAAAGAACAGAAACCTTTCATCGAGCATTTTCTTCCAATCAATCGTAAACGCTTCTTTAGGCTCGTCCAGCGCGGCATTGTTATCACAAACTGTAGGGAGGAATGATTTCCGGGGTTCATTATCACTGCCAGCGACATCTTGGCTGCCATCCGACGATGGAGCAGAAAATGTTTCACCCATCACAGAATTTTGTTCCGCAAGAACGTGCATCGGGATAGATCTTCCTTTGAGCTGCATTTCACAGGCTTGTAGCTGGGTCTGGAGAAACTGGATTTTCGACAGGAGCAAGTCTTCTCGAAACATTGCAGACCAGGTATCTTTTCGTTCCATGGCCACGAGAATTCTATTGAGTGCTACAAGCTTGGATTCCAGTACATGTTCTCGATGATGCGCTTCCTGAGCAAAGCAAAAAATAAACTAGCTAATTGTTACACAATATAAATATCAAAAAATAAAATTATGAAGCAATTCCACGGCGTATGTCAGTATAACAAATCATGATTCGTAGACTAATTCTTCAGCGTTGAAGGCTAATTATCTCATCAAACAACGCAGCCCTTTCTCTAGCTATAAATAAATGCAGTTTATTTATAACACATCATAAAATTTTTCCACCACGCAGTTGCGTAACAGCCAAATGTTTACCGCTGTTTCAGCGTTCTGTGATTCTACATACGTATTCTGAATATTTTCCAAGCCGAACCAACAGTCTCGGTACAATTCTCACCTGTAAAATCGACTGCAGTTCATACACTTCCTGCACCGTCAATTTCGGCGCCTCGACTTGGTCTTCCCGCTTTACTCCCTCATACTGGACACCGGGCGCCATCGCAAATTTCGATGTCGTAGTTTTCGCTTCTACGCCATCGGGATGGAACAGTCTCGCGGTGGCTATGATGCACCCATGCGTTACTAAAATATTATCCCATTAGACCGAGCAGTCGCAAATATATTCGGCTCAGATTGAGGCGTACCGGGCGGGACGCCTTTCTTCGCTTGTTCCTGGACTTCCACACCGAACTGTATAAGATCTCCGGAGAAGAGTTCTCTTCGTGTATCCACAGGTATTTCCGTTTTCAAAGTGTTCTGACTCGCCGTGTCTGTGGGCGGAGCAGGGGTAGCTGGGAGTTTTTGAGTGTTTACGAACGTCCCATTTGAGCTCTGCGTGTCTTGAAGGTAGAACTGCATAAACATCATATACTTCGAATCTTCGTTATCGTACACATACTGCGCACATCGTACTCTGATCCTTTCAGTACTTAACTTCGGAACCGCTTGTAAAGTATCCACTGTGCAGGTATTATGCAGATATAAAAGCCTTATAAATCGTCGTATAAGTATTAATAAGTGCATAAATTAGAATACATAAAATAATACGAAATATGAAAAACAAATACATGCTACGATGTCTGAAGTAAGAAAGCATTCTGCAAGAGTACAGTCGCAAGCTGCGAAAAATGTAGCCCAGATTTACCTTTCCATCTTCGTACCACAGGAGAGCGTGATTCCGGCTGAGCACTTTACAATTAAAAAATCCATTGTCCACATTGGGTTTGCAGTTGGCGACGGCTCGACCAATTTTTACAGGCTGAGCCAAGGGAATTTCGCGATCGGTGAACTGATGCGATTGCTGACGGCATTGCAGGATAACTTTCGCCATTTGTGACAAATCACAGCCGCGAAGATGAGGAAACACCCAAAAAGTTCAGAAGGTGGGCGAGATCCACTGTGCCAATTAATCACATGTGGCCGATATGCCTGAAGCGGAAGCGAGAGGAAATGAACGCAGGCTGCAAATATTTTTATCTTCACGCAGGCGTCACCGATCCACAGGCGAAAAATCCCGGTTCCTGTAAATTATAACGGGAACCTTACATTACGGAATATAATATCAACACTTATCACAAGCTTATACAAGCTTACAGAACATTCTTGACGTTCATACGGAAGTTAATAATTTCATGAGGATCATCTGTATGCCGTATTCGGAAAAATGTGCTTAATTTAAATACAAAAAAAAACAAACAATCAACAACAAACACCAGGAAGAGCGGAACCAGGAAATAAATGCTTTTCTTTCACATTTTGATTTACTGTCCCGATCCCAATATGAGCGTTCGTCCTGCTAGTTTTGTCAATTCTCTGAATTGTTCACTAACACTAACGTCGCTATCCACACAACAGTGGAAACAATGGATGTTTAGCTGCTACGTCAACCTTTGGCCCATGCCTGTTTAAAACCACAAATGTTTGACCAACCCTTCTCTCATAGTAAAACACAGACCCAAGTCAAAACCTTCCCCGAGGCACATGAGCCCCTTACAGAACAAAGCTTGTCGAGCTAGCCCCCGTTTATTTACTCGTAGGGCCGTAGCTGATTCTTCTAGCACACCTGCGAGTTACTGTTAGTTCCTCTACTGCCAACCTATAGCTACGAATTATTTATAACACCACCATAACTGATAACAGAGTCAAGCAGGCACGTTACACGTACAAAACATACCATTCCAAATCCATAACTCATCTCTCGTCCAGCGAACACACGATAACAACTATGGTTATGTTCCTCGAAGATAACTCACAGACAAATTAAAACTTTTAACCGAGGTGAATTATAAGGTTGGTAAGAACTAAGAAGTCGCTATGAACATTGAGAAAGGTTTTCTAAACTCCGATCCACAATGCACATGCAAATGTCCCGTATACAGCGTACTCCGCTCGCATAAAATCGTGTTCCCAGATTTCATGTTGATAACACAACTCGACCAACTGGTTGACGCATCTCCTTGGAGGGTCGCATTGCGACAACTCACAACTGAATGCTCGTCGAACAAAATTAATTCTCTTTTTTACGATTACGGTATAATGGCATTTTTTGAAACTTTTGCATTTTTCTGAATGGTTTGAAACAAAACTAAACGATTTCCCCGGATTATGGTTAAGTGCATAATATGTGATCCGTTTACGCTTTCTCGTCGGGCATCGTTGCGATAGGAAGAGGGTAAGCGCAAAGTGGTACTGAGCCTCAAAGCTCAACATAGTTCTTACGTAGATTCTTACGTCCATTTCTAATGGGTTGCAATTTTAAACAGGTATATGTGTTTTGAAGAATTTTGGTTGTTGGTTGGAATCAGCGTCCCACAAGTTTATTTGTGAAATGGGCAACCTTTTCGGAAAATCCAAATCGGAGTCGCGAGTTACGGAACACGACAAGGCTGTCCTGGTGCGTGCAATATTGACCAGTATATCTGTATAGATATTTAAATACGTATTACAGAGTATTACTTACTTAAATAGTATCGTTTTCTTATAATTGATTCTGGCTTACTAGCCATTTATCCGTCCTCTATCAGGAGGTTTGTTTTAATTTTTTAAACGCATTTTTTTTGGGAACTATGCATGGAACGATAAGTTCATTGTTGCATGTTAAACGTTTGGAACTTCAGCTTACTATGAGGCAGCTTTTGGTTCGCAGTTTATATTATGACATAACTCACATTACTTACTTTGCAGCCTGATAGGCAATAAACTAGTTTTGTCGGTATATGGTATATTCGTAATTATAACATGGTTTGTTTTGGTTCAGATTAACTTTGTTATCTCTAAAGAATTCTACCCATAGCTTGCAAAAGCAACGAACATCACGGACTACTCGTAGATTGTAAAAGTAAGTATAGTAGATTGTAATATTTTGATTTAATGCAGCAACTGAAGGTCCAGCGAGATAAAGTGCGGCAGTATCAGAGACGAATCGAAATTACGATGGAAAAGGAGCGCCAGTTAGCCAAACGACTAATTCAGGATGGAAAACGAGAGTGAGCATTTTGAGAGGCTTGACATATCGAAGGTTTCGTTTCGTATTTCAAAATTTCCGCTTCGCAGTCGAGCAAAATTAATGCTACGGAAAAAGCGATTTGAAGAGTCAATGCTTGCCAAAGTGGAGCAACAACTAGAAAATTTGGACCAGTTGGTAAACGCGGTTGTCTACCGAGAATGCGTTAATAAGTTTATTATTAATTACGGTTTTCAGTTGATGAATTTGGAGTTTACACAAATTGAGCAGCAAGTAATCCATGGTCTCAAAGTTGGCAACGACTGCTTAAAGAAGCTGCACGAGGTATGCGATGACTTAAGACGTGGTTACAGTGGATTGTTGACCGTTCGACTAATGTTTTATTGAATATTGATAAATACCGGTATTGTTTTCTAGACGTTTAGACTCGAAGATGTGGAAAAAATACTGGACGAGTCTAGGGCAGGCGTAGAATACCAACAGGTAAGGTGGTGCGAGAGTTATTACCCAGATCATGCACACGCTTTATCTGTGCAGCGGTTATAAACCAATAGTAGTGATCGCACGGCATAGTCCTACTTTTTCCGTTATTGTGATCTGTTGGTGATTTTGACATAAATCCCGCTGTTATTTAGTATAGGCTTCTGCTATCTGTGCAATAATTAGGGTGTAGTGCGTAACTGTGTGGTTCCAGTGCACATTTATCTTGTAATGTCGTAAGTAACTGTATCAATGTTTGTGCAGTTCTGTACTTTTTATAGCGGGAAATTGGTCCAGTGGTATTTGTAGCTTTTACTATGATTTCGCTGTGATTATAGGAAATTGATTCTTTATTAAGCGGTTCAATATCAGCGGAAGATGACGAAGCAGTGGAAGAAGAATTCGAGCAGCTTTTTGCGGTAAGTATTGGTGTTGCTTTTTTTGTCGTATGCACACTGTGCAGTATATACTGTAGCTGTATATTGCCTGTTTTACCAATTTTACAGAATCAGTTACCAGATGTGCCTCAAGACATTCCTGTGTCTCAGGAAATTGGAGATGCGCGACGAGGTAGCACAAGTATCTATGTATTGCGCTCTTCCGTTTTTGTCTTGACCCTTACATTTTACATTTTCAGATAAAGTTCCAGCTAGAGCCCAACGTACCCGAGAAGCTTTGCCCGCCAGTTAGAGGAGGATTGGATCTGTGATTTTATTTCTGTTTTGTAAATCGTATGTTGTTTGTCTTTCTGAGTTGCGCATTCGGTTGATTCTTGTCATTACGCTATACTAGCTGCTAGTTTTTTCAGAGTTTCGAAGTGCAGATTTTAATGGGGTTGAATTTATCTGAGTTTCGATAGGTCGATAGGTAATAATAAAAGCGGCGCAAACATGACAACCATTACACCAAAATCACATGTGGAACAAACGGAATAAATGAAAATAACGTGTGAAATGTGAAAATAAAAACGACATGTGAAATAAATGAATTACAGTATCACCTTTCGACACCCAGTATGGGTAATATAAAATGCAGCTCTAAAACTTAAAACGTGATCACACATTTAGAAAAAGTACAAACTTCACTTCATATAAGATAACATAAACACACTGTGATGACTATACTGAACAGCGTTACCGACGAACGGACGGTGTCCGCGGTGTTGCAGTAATTATCATAGCAAACACATGTTTTAATATCGCCGTTAATAATACAGCCTGCGTCGCCGGGCGCCTTTGAACCAGCACAAGACCGCACAACCAAATCTGCAAAAAAACAAGCCTTGACCTTTTAGATCAGAATTTTCAGAGCAATGAGAGCATGGTAGTGTTATATTAGTGATAAACACAATGCCACCAATGGTCTTTATGATACCACGCCCAGTCCCAGAGCTTTGCATGGAAGCTTCAATAAAAATGATATATCTTGCTTTTTATTTTAATAAGCCACCTGCATTGATACCCAAACATAAAACACATACCACCGGGTCCGACGACCTTTAAGCACCGGTCTTGTAACGAGTTGCATTCCCGGTAATCGTTGCTTATCCTGTCAGCCAGTGCGCAGCCACCATCCGTTCTTGAATTGCAGATGTAGCAGCTTATCGCAGCAACTACAGAGTGCAGAGCACAAAATTTTTTAACAAGTCTTCCTAATAATGGCACGACTTTAAGAAGTAAGTATCTGTAGCAATAACTGTCAGCCGAGGTGCTTTCGTTTTTCCAAATTGAGTGGCGTTCCTCATTTCTTGCTTACAAAGATAATAATTATTATGTACGTGCTTCTATTATTACACTGCAGATAAGTATGAACATTTAAATTTTAAACAATAAAACATTACTGTTAAGTGGGTGCTTTCCTCACTTGCAACAGAACTGTTGTCCATATTGGCTAGAAAAACTGAACAAGTAAGTAACTCTACAAAGACATTTGTATTTTTTATTGCTGGCAGATTTGCAACTTCGCGAAGTTATTAATGATTTTAATTGACTGCTGCCTCACAGACGTCTGATCCACCCAAAGCCCATACTCAAAGGGTTTTTTTTGCATGCTTGCAGTATACAGAAAGCTAAAACCACTTGAGTACAGCGATGATCCATTCCGTCGACCCGAACCATAGTTGGATACAAATATTTTATATATTTGATTATTTTCCGGCTCTAGGGTCACGTTTTAGCTTGGGATTTGAACCTGGCCTATGCCGTGCTTACGCGTTTTCTCCTCAGCAGCGTGGGTATTTGAGAGTTTTTTGACACTTACCATTTCGGATTGACGATAATACCGTTAAAGCTATCAGAACGACCGCTAAGATAGCACAGTTGCGAAAGGTCAACATTATTCCGTCCCGGTACAGAAGTGTAATTTAGGTAATTAAGAACACTATGTAGTGTATCGATCCCGGTCAAGCACCAGCCAATAAAAACTAGCAGAGTTCTGGCATCCAGAAACAACCATACAGATTCTCAGTTCTTTAGAATTACTCAAATCGTAGATGTGCGCGATTCATTAGTCAGCAACGTAAGGACATCCATTTGAAGTGCCATGCAACTTATGGATGCAGATTACGGTTTCACGATGAAAAAGCAGCATTCGTAGTTCATCTACCTGCGCAGATATTCTTTTGCTGCCCTAGTTTCAACATTTTCAAATGGTCAGCTGTTAGTACTTATAACTCACACCTACTTGAAATTAAAAGTTCGAAGACGATAGAGACTCTTAGGACCACAAGCAGCACAACTGTCACCATAATCCGCGCTTAGATGACATAATGTCACGTTTGCGATCATATCAAAAGCAGCAAACCAAATACACCGAAGCGGCGCAAGGATCAATCAAATAACGGTTACGTAGCTCTGTTTTCCGCAGATTTGCTTTTAGATGTCTTGTTGCGTAGAACACTCGTTTGACTGTTTGGTTTGTTTAAATTATATTTATTATTTAACAATGCATCTGTAATGGACATTTACGGCAGATATAAGTGGACTTCACAGGCGTGCAAATAAATTTCTTTCGTGTACTGGTATAATAATAAATTTAATTATGTGATCAGGTGTAGCTCAAACGATATTTACACCGATACGCAGCGGTTTTAAAACTTCGCAAACCTGAGCGTATGAACGGCCATATATTGTATCAGTTCATTGCTAGCTATTCGTTGCCGGAATTCGGTATCGTTAATTTTATGTTTAATGAAGAGAAATTAACGATTCACATGGGCTGTTAAAAATGAGTATGTACAATACCGCCTTTCCATATATTGTGTTTTTAAAACATAGCTTACGAGCCGGTAGCTCGATGGTAACAAAATCCACCATGCCAGACATGGGAAAGTGCAAGTGCCGTTTGTGTCAAAATGTTTGTATTTGTAAAAGGTTCCTTATTCTAAAATTTTAGTTGTACAATATTCTATGGCTTTTGGCTTTCATTAACAATTGATCTTGACTTGCAATTGAAAGTAACTTTTTCAGTAGTAGTACAATAAGTACATAATTAAGAAATGTGTACTTACCTACCGTACAGCACGGCACAAAAAACGGCTAAAGGATCAAGACGGGTTATGAGATTGACTATATCGTATTTATTTCTTAATAATATCATGACGGAAATGCTGATTTTTTTAATTATTCATTTCATATGAATACTTCTGTACGTAATTATACAATATTGTGATGTTGTTACTGTAGAGTGTGAGCGCCGGTTCGTGCGGCTGGACCAATATTTTTAATCCGCTTCGGTTTTTCACATAAGAGTTTCTCATATTTTCAGTTTCTTTACCTTTTCCAGTTTTCTCCTTTATTCTCTGATTTTTCTTTTTTTTTATTTGAATTTTTATTTCTTGATTCTGAAATACTACTATTCATACACTTCACAGTAATCCGTGCCTTGCTGTTACAGGTGGAGCAACTAGTTATTAGCGCTAGTGACGAACTGTTTCGGGCTGCGACTACGTGTGTTGGAATAGTTCTATACGAGTATATAGGTAAACTTTATGAAAACCATATCCATATGGACCATATGAATGGAAATTCTTAAGCTTGGAATTTGAAAGGTAGCTGGTAGTGGCTTGATAATTTTTGTTTGGTCAAGTAAATATTTGAATTTTTGAACCGTGTTTGTATCGAAAAATTTGTCCGTGACGGCGTAGGATTCCATTCTTTCCAGCCTGGCGTACCGTCCTTTGGAGAATCGTACCTTTCACTCATCTCTAGTATTCAGAGATGCCTCTTCCTCCAGCTCTGCAGGAGCGTCTAAAGAAAAGAGGAATAATCAAAGAAGGTATTAATACGAGTGTGTTTGTATCAGCCGTATTATTTATGGCCTACACCGGACTATCTCTTTGTAGATCTCAGCCAACCTGCTTCGTCCTCGAAAAGCACACCCTTTCTTCAGACAGACACAGACTATTCCAGATCGTGGCTGGGATGCCCCAATAAATGTAATCCCTATCATGTATGTGGAGAGTTTTGTCGTTTATTCTGGGCGAACGGGTTTGCGGAACCGGAAAAAGTTACCGAAAAGAAGCGCCAACTGATGTTGCTGAAGTATCCTAAACCCACTGGTTGGAAAGAAATTTATGATCCCGGAACGTGAGTGATGCCTTAAGTACAGCTTTGACTGTTTCACAGTTGCTCCTTGCAGTATTTTTTATCTTACACGATTTTAAGAATCCCTTGATTAACTACTTATCATGCCGTAAGACATTCACGATTTTTCCAGCGCATTTTGTTTCCCAGTTTTCAGTTTCATAGTTGATGAAAAAGATTGAATGCAATTTTAATTTTGAATTTGCAACCTCCTTGTTTTTGGGATATTTTCTCTGGGTGTTCTTCTTCTATCTTTGTTGGATAAATCGTTAATGCGTTTTTAAATTATATGTTTTATTTTTCTTTTTAACTTTTAGCGGTCGGCATTACTATTGGAACGTCGATACGGACGAAGTTTCCTGGTTCCCACCGGAGCATCCCAAAGCCAGTGTTACTGTGTCGGCCAACAAACTGCGAGCCATTTTGATGAAGACCAGTTTTCGACAGACACCGGAAGTGGCTAGATATCTGTACAAAAACCCCAGTGGTGTGACAACGTTGGTCAGTGATTATTCCAATGAAGGCGTCACCAACGAAGAAGACACAGAGGGAGAATTTCGGCGGAGTAATCTGGATGAAAGTGATCTACATGGAACGCGAGGCCGCGGTGGTGGAGGAAAGATGGGTCGATATAAGCCCAAAGCACAAAATGAACCCCTCGATCCGATGGATCCGGCCTCGTACTCGGATATCCCGCGCGGGGGATGGAGTTCTGGTTTGGAAACCGGCGGTGAAGCCAAAACTGGAGTGGATGTCACGGCGAGCGGGCCGCTCTTTCAAAGCCGACCTTATCCGAGTCCCGGAGCTATTCTCAGGAGAAATGCTGGCATAGTTGACAAGAAAAAGAAATGATTCTTCGTGCTAACGACGAGTAACCGTAAAAAGGGGGCTGATTTGTTGGATGATGGGAAGTCGTTGATCAAACCTACATGAACCAGCATTTACCATTCACTCTGATAAAGTTTGCAGTTGTTTGTGCGTTTATTTATGCGTTTCTGTTTTCGGGTTACGTACAGAATCGGCGTATCCGTGAAACTTTTAAGACTTATGGCTGTCAATTTTGTTGTTTAACCGATTACGATTACTGACTGGCACTGCAAATTTGGTTCTTTTTACCCTCGATTCCTAAAGCAGCTCGCTACACTTAAGAACACTAATAAAATCTCTAAAAGTACTAGTAGTGTAGAACGTAGAACAGAAAGTAAGTAACAACACACGACTTCAACTAAACGCCGACAGTAATCATAAGAAATAACGACTAATCACGGCATAAATACGATCCAATGCGTCCGATTATGCTCGTCCAGCGCGTTTCATTTCCTAAAAACATTCGCGTTTTCACACAATTTCGCTCATGGGCAGGGCAGATAAATTTTTGCATGCACAATCCCTTACCTCTAACATCGCTGCACCCATCTGAGCCGGGCTGTCGACAACCGTAACACCGGCTTCTCTAAGCGCAGCAATCTTAGCATTTGCTCCACCTTTGCCTCCCGCAATGATAGCTCCAGCATGGCCCATGCGTCTTCCGGGTGGCGCCGTTCGACCGGCAATAAATCCCACTACCGGTTTAGCATCAGGTCCCTAAAAAGAAACACTGGGTGTCGGTCGTTTGTCGCATCTGTCCGACTACCTAACAGTTAATTTCACTATCCAGCGTTAAGTTACATTTAGCACCACATGCAGCACTCTTCTGCATTCTTCCTTTATTTTTCATGTATAGTACTGTCTAGTGTCTACCCAGTAAGCCTGGATATCGCCATCGTATCGGTATCAATATCGTCCAGCATGTGAGACAGTGAGATGGAAGTAAAAAATACGCAAATACGCAACACACCTACCGTGTTGTTTTCCTGAAGATACTGCGCAGCCGCTTCTTCCGCTGATCCACCGATTTCACCGATCAAAATGATACCTTCGGTCTGCGGGTCATTCAAGAAGATGTCCAAGCAATCAATAAAGTTGGTTCCGTTGAAAGGATCTCCTCCTATTCCCACACACAAGGTCTGTCCTAAGTGTGTCTGCGTGGTCTGGTAGACTGCTTCATAGGTCAGCGTTCCCGAACGCGAAACGATGCCAATCTTGCCCGGCTTGTGGATGTGACCCGGCATGATTCCGATTTTGCACTCCCCTGGCTGCACCATAGAGTAAACCATTATTTACCGAAAATTCGGACAGCAAGTCTTATTAATAACCTTAATTATTCCAGGGCAATTGGGCCCAACAAGACGAGTTTTGCTCTGTTGCAGCAGCCGGTTCTTGACGCGCACCATATCCTGCTGTGGTATACCTTCGGTAATACAGACTACGAGAGGCACTTCCGCATCGATAGCTTCTATAACAGCGGCAGCAGCCCGAGGTGCAGGGACGTAGATAACAGTGGCATCGGCTTGCAAGGCCTGGACAGCCTGAAATACGAACAGAAAACGCTGTTACTAAAATTAAAAATTAAATCGTTACATATTTACATCTGACATTACGAATTTTTTTCAAAACACACGTTCCAAAACGACGCGTAAAATGTGACCGTATAGATACCAGACATGGCATGAACAAAACTCTGAGTTGTAATATCGTAAATACCTCTTTAACAGTGTTGAACACCGGGCGCTCGAGATGCATGGTGCCGCCTTTACCCGGCGCAACACCGCCGACAACTTTCGTTCCATATTCGATCGCCTGCTTGCTGTGGAATGTACCCTACGTCCACGAAAAAAAATAACGAAAGTGCTATGCGCCTTAAATTTTTGGGGCGCATAGCAAATTATCAAATTATCTATGCGCCTTAAATTTTTTGGGCGCATAGAAGTGACAAAAAAATAATACTAAAAATTCAAATAATTGAATAGTATTCAAAAATTGAGTTATCGCAGCTTGCAATGCGTACCTGCTTTCCTGTAAATCCCTGACAAATAACCTTCGTGTTTTTATTGATCTTCAAATTCTTGCGTGTTGCATCATAAACATTGGCCGACTGCCTCAATCCCAGGGTTTTCACTAGAAGAACACTATCATTAATAAGCCATAACCTATGGTGGAAGACAATATGATAGCACAACCAGTTTCAATTCGGCAGTTTGTCATTTACTAAAATACGAAAGATAACCGGAGCATTCGCAGTTCGCACGATCGGAAAGAAACACCGTAAACCAGGCAATCATACGAACCGTACGAATCAATGTGGTAAGAATGTAAAATTCCAACTGAAGAGTAACTGCCAGTCGCCAGTGTACAAAGTTTACTATTTTGAAAAATATTCAAAAAATTAAAATTAGACCAGCAAAGTATTCAGCGAGAACTTTAAAGTTCGATAAATCCAGTGACGAAGCTTACTGGCTAGCTGCTTATACTTACAACTTATTACTTATTTTTATAAAAATTAATTATTAATAGAATAAAAATTATAAAATGCAGAATTGCAGCTTTGTCAGCTGCTCCACAAATACGCACCTGCATCGGATACTCCTTTTCCAATTTTGCTTGCCATCGAAGCCATGTTTGTGGTTGTTCCTTCAGGTATCGTTATTTCTGGACGACCTCTGTAGATATTATTACCGATTACGTACAAATCATCAATCACATTACCACGCAGACATAACTTTTCGGGTTACAGAAATCTAAACGACTGCACTGCACGGTCTGTGGGCCTATTCTGTAGTTATCAAACTGCAACTGATACAGAACTTGCAATATTTCTATTGCAATTAAAAAAAGAATGAACACTAAGCAGCTCCTAATAGCTTACCAGATTCAAAGCTTCGACGTTCCTTCTCGCTGGCAATAAACTGAAAACCCCACTGGATGTCCTGAACCTCCTTCGCGTTCCTCTGCTGCTGCGGGAGGTAACGTTTCTCGATGTAATCGCCGTACGTGTAGTCGCTAATGGCGACTCCCGCAAAAGTGACTCTGGCCGCCGTGCGCTTGGGGTGGCCTGGGAGGTCGGCAACATTCAGTTTTTCTGATTTTGGAGTTTCTTTTCCTGTTCACCGACAAAATTTTGTTGTTTATTCGCTTTTGACTATTTTAGAAGTTTACTTCTCACAATCCGTTAAAAATTCCGCTCAGGAAATTGAAAACTTGTGTTTTTGTTGAAAACCATCTAGTAATTTGAGAGTTAAAATTTAATCATAAGGAAGAGAAAAGGTTTCTCACTAGGACTTTCCGTGTTTTGGTTTTCCTGGCCTTGTTGTTTAAATTTCTTCACAAATAATAAATAATTCATTGTAATTGGGCATTATTTTGGGACGTCGAGTGGTGGATCTTGATTCTGACAGTCTCCCTGGATTGCGCTTAATTGTTGCAAGAATGCCTGTGCGATATGTGGGCCCCAACTCAGTCCTGAACGGAAAGTTTTTATTTGAGATCTTGCGGAATCTGAAGAACTTTGGAGTTGGAAGAATGGTTGTCCGCAGTAGTTACGAACGGTATCCGGAACCGTGTTACTACATAGTTCGGGAGGTGAAGCCCGCAATGGATCCCGTGAGTTAACCATTTCTAGTTTGGTAACTTATGGTTGCTGTACTTCTTTATTATATGGAGGCTGTAATGCAGCAAGGTGAATGCAGTTACGGGTTCCCAAACGTCTCTGCTCGACCGCCGAAATTTTTAACAGTTTTAAATAATTTTGATTTTTGACGTTATTTTTTAAATTTTGTGGTCACATACTCTCGTCATACTATTAATGACATATTGACGATTGTCGCGAAGCGTGCGTAAGGTGCGCTTTGAATTATTCAACCATTTTAGGAAGGAAAAAATGGAGAGATGATGGCGGATGTCGTTTTTCGAGGTATGCTTTCAGTAGCGTGCAGTTGTTTTAATGTTCCGGTAGTTATTAGTTATTACTAACCCGAAATCTGCCAGCATTAATGTCGTTTTGAAGATTGATTTATGAAAATTTATTTTAGGGCGTGATTTGGGTTTGCAAAAAGCGCAGTATTGTGATCGGCCAGATTGGCGTTTAATTCCCAAAGAAGACGAAGAAGCCTACAGGAAATACGTAAAGCCCACCGTCGCAGATCTGCCGCCAAAAGCGGTGGTGCCGGCGACGATGCCGTTACCCCCGCTCTTAAAAATGATGCACATTGACGAGAAACGGAGATCCGGTAAACCAGTGGGGGAATTGTCGGTTCCTTTGCTAATCTTCCGCGATGCTGTTCGCGTTCCCATACAAGAAGGTGTTGAAGTGCCGTTGGGATCTGCTGAAGTCACGACGAATCAAAGGCCTAACTCAGTGTTGCCGCAAAGCATCGCTCATCGGCTGCATTTAAGCAGTCTTAAAAAAACGAAGAAGTAAACTATGAATACAAAATTTTATTTCTTCTAAGTTGTTTGCTACTTGTTTTCTCGAAGTGCTGCGTTCCTGGTCGTCAGTCATTTGCTGAAACCAAAAAAATATTGTTTGTGGTCGTCGATGGTCGAAACTTATTTGTATGGTTCTCGTAGTAGTGCCTTTAAACCGAATACCGACAGTTGCACCTTGCACATACACATGTGCGTACCCCGTAGCATAGTGCACCAGTGCCTTCGTGGTGATTGCCTACCATTTCACGTGTTTTCGTTTGGGAAGGGGATAAAATTTTATTGGCTAGAGCAGGCTTTCAGCTCAGGTATCTGTAAGCAGAGGGTGCAGGGCCAACGCTCATTTAGTGTTCGTTTACGGTTCATCAAAATTTGTTTAGTAACAAAATTTAATTAAGTCCTAGTACCGTTTTTATAACAAATCTTAATGCAGGCAAAACTGCACAGTATAAGGCACTTTATATGGTACGGCGACCGTTGCATCATACTACGCTTTCCTTCCGCTTCAACGAAATAACACAAACAGAATTCTTAGCAGCGCTGTCGCGCCACCATCTACCCAGCCGGTGTTCTTGACCGACTGCCGCCACCACAGTCATTCCATCATTAACGATTCGAAGGGCATTCACGAACCCGGCAACTGGAATATCAAACAATAGGCTTATACTCCTGTATCCTTCCTGAATCCTCCACATTTTAATTGCACCCGAATTCGATCCCGAAGCGAAGACATCTGTGTTTTTCAATGCATCCACACAGGTCACCCAGCACGGGGATCCGTCGGCGCTTTTGTGAGCAGCATATGCGGTATATATGGGCTTTTTCTTGTGTGCACCCCACAATGCCACATTCCCACCGTCATCCCCCGTCACAAAGTGCTCGTCATCCACCAGGGAAATACAGTCAATTGAGCCGGAAGGCAACTGGAAGACCAGCTGTGATTCCTCCAGAATTTTCCATATCCGCACCGATGCATCCTGCCCGCCAGATGTCACGCAGCGCTCTTTATGGAAACTGTCGATACCGGTTACCGCATGCTGATGGCCGAACAGCGTCTCCACGTAAGATTTCTCAGCGGCATTCCACACTTTGACATTCCGATCATGACTGCAGCTGAACAGCTGATGAGTTCCCATGCGGAATGCTACGCCGGACACAATATCCCGGTGTCCTTTGAACGTGTGGTACAGCTCAAAACCAGCGGTTAGCCAGATTTTTATCAGTTTGTCCGTAGCCGCACTGGCCAAAAATTTGCTATCAGATGACAAAGATAATGACGTTATGGCACCGGAATGCCCCAACGCTTCACTTTTATCGCGGAGGATTCTGAGCAGTACTTTCTTTGCTTCCATGCTCCATTTTATTAGTGATCCCTCTTTACCTCCTGCGAATAAACATTAAGGATATAAATTTCGATTAGCGCCTATCTTAAAATCAACGCACTGAAATTCTCCGAATAAAATCATAAACAAATGGCTATACTAATTATCAAATGACGGCACACCTATTTTTTCAACATTGCAACAATACCTGAAAAAATGAACTTCCCATCGGAGGTAACACAGGTGGCTGACAATTTATGTCCGCTATGCCCGCGTAGCATAAGAAGTGTGCCTTCAGCGGCGACATCAGGCTGCACCAGCTGTTGCGCAATCGCTCGCCGCAATTTCCCCGCCGCTTCGAGAACCTCTTCACGGAGTTTCTCATCAACTGGTTTAATATCGCTCTGGTCCTCTAACTGCTGAAGATAGTCCTTCGTCAGCCGCAACCGCTTTTCCTGCTCAGTTTCTTCTTCTGACTCGGAATGCTCAGCCTGTAGCGTGATCTGTTGTTCCTGCTCTTCTTCAGATTCGCCGCTGGAAATCTCTTCGTCTTCCGGCCTAAACCGCTTCCGGCTTTGCTGCATGCGTGTGCCATTCGTAAGGCCATTTGGCGGCTGCCCTCGCGCGCCTCCTCGTCCGCGGAAACCCCTACCAGGTCTCCGCGAACCGCGGGTTCCTCCTCGAGATCCATTGGCAGCCGCTCCGCGTTTCTGATTCCTGTCAACCTTTGCAGATTTATGGCCTCCAGGTTTAACAAAAAACCCATCCATATCTGTCTGCGATCCGATACCGACACTTGCTCTGGTTAATCAATACTAGTAGTCCAGAATCACTCCATATCCATTAGGCTATGGTCCACGACCGCACAGTGCAGTAGGACTCTGTAGTTAGCGCGCGCGGCCCGGCGCGGGTAACAGTCGTGACTCGGGTTTAGAGATTATACAAACTTCGCAGCTGGTAAACAAACTTGCTGACCGTAATTTCGGAAAATTCAGAAATCAATCCTTCAAGCCTAACAAAAAACGAGTAAAATCTGTACAAACCTCGGACAGTTAGAAGTTTGATAAAACTCATAAAAGCGGCATAAGTAATAAAAAAACGGACAAGTCACAAAACGACTGATTTATACGGCTATGACTGTTTGAACAACTAGCCAGGGCGGTCGGCAGCTTGGGTAACAGTACTTATTTAAAAAAAATTTGTGTATGTAGTATCAGAGAAAAACTACTATTACTGTAGTTAAAGAAGAAGTAGTGTACTAACAACTAATACAAATAAGAAGTTGACACATTGGAGGATGTTTCCAATCTTCGACTATTCAATAGGGAAACCGCGGCACGTAATATACGCAAGTATATGATTTTTGTTATTTGATTGGTTGTTGCCAAATAAACCATCAGTTACTACAAGATCACCTGCAGGCTATAGTGACCACTGAGGTCCACTGCGAAATTGATAATTTTCCATTCACCAGAAATCGTGGCATCCAGAACTATTTTCATACCCATATAATTTACACATTCAGTATCCTTATTATTTCACCAAGTACATATTACCATTTACAAGTCTGAAAAAGGCGCAGACAGTATAACAACAAAACGTATTAGAAATCGTTTGACCATAAAAGCAAGAACTTAACTTCAACTCAAGATACTTTTTTGTAAAAGATAAAATCAGGAAACAAATTCAAAGTTCAGACAAGTTGCAACTTGCAAATCACCAGATCAGTAAGACTGCTCAAGTATTTTTAGACAAATGACCCGCTTCTTTGATTATTTTTTATAGCGGCGTTGAGATCGGGAGGAAGTTTCCCCATGACTGTCTCCAGCGACTGCCGCAACTTCGCATGAAGATCAGGGGCGATTACCGTTCCATCGTTACGAACATTATGGACGCGGGACCGGATCTGCAGTATCATATCCACCAACTCCACTTCCGACTTTGCAGTACTCCAAGCTTCTAAGTCCTGCAAAAGGATGTCAACAATACAAGCAATGCACTAATCCCGGAATTTACCGCAGTGTGCAGTGAACGCTATGCGACTTTACTTTCTTTCTAAGCCGGTCAATGAAATCAAACCAAATGCAAACTCCCAAACAAATATTGCTACAACCTGATTAAGTTGATTCAGACTTCCTAGTTACAATGTAAACTTTCCCATAGCTTATTATCAGTCTGTGCGAGCTGGATCCGCTTACCGCATTTGCAACCGCTTCCAGGTGTATTAATCGCAGTTTCTGATTGATTTCGGCTTTCCGCATTTGAAACCAGTGTCCGAAATTTTCGCTTTTCAAGAATGAGGTGTACAATCCTTGCCAATCACCTTTCGTACCGGATGTGAGCTGAGGACCGGCAACTTCGACCGTTTCAAGAAACTCCTCAACATTAAAATCCCGTAATGTCGGCGGCATCCGAAAAGGCGATATATCGCGCAATAATGGCATAAGTGTTGACACATAACGTTCCAGGGGTATCAGAAAACTTCGGGTTAACTCGTAATAATACTTTTTAATCAGTGACGACTGCGCTTCAGTAGGACGTTTTGATTGAATACCCTTCTGCAATCGCTTGATAAGGGCTTTATCTTTGTTTAAATATGGTTTATATTCGCTGTATAACCCTTGCTTGAAATCCACAGTTGATGACAACTTAAACGGAGTTTTTGTTTTGGCGCTGTCCTAAAAAGACAATGCAAATATTAAAATAAGCACTGAGTCACTAACATATTATTAACGAGTGGTGGCCGTAATTACTACGTATTAACGAATGGAAATTTTTTATAGGAAAGAAAAGCAAAAAATGAATCAAAATAAACAATCCACGCACATCTGCCTTGTTTTTATCGTCCTCTCCGACGCGTATGACATGCGGCCAATGTTGCAGTGTTTTGACAAAAAAGGGATTCGTAACTCCCAAAATATTGCGAGGAGGGGACTGCGTTCGCGTCGTGTAGTCTTTAAAATCCTGATCATGAATGGTGAAAAACGGTCGGTAATCGGTCGCATATTTTAACGGCCAAATAATCCATATCAGCCCCTGTACAATTTCTGAGCAGACTGTGGGACTGGGTGCGATAACCGCCAGGGGTTCATTGCACAGCACCAACTCCCAAAAAATATGCAAATGCGATAAAAATCCATGGAATGTCTTGGCAAAATCCAAATCATGAATCGAAGTGATGGGAATATTAAGTGAGGATGAGAATGCTGATAAATTGGAAGGATACGATGCCCCGGGCAGCGCCCCATCCAGCAAGGGAGGGAATCGTCACATTGAGAGTATGTCCAAACAGGGGCAGACTGAGCGGCACTCCCACCTGCAAACTGGGCCAGCGATCCATCTCTTTGCAGGCGAACTCCAACGCCTGCACCCCGTTCTCAAAGAACTCCGGGGCCACCAACTGCAGCACTTCGCGGAATATATTCAGGAAGGGGAGTTTGGTGATGAGGACGACGGATTTCTGGAAGTAGCCACGGCGCACGGAGCGATCCTTCACCTGGCGAAAGCAGACATAACCAAAATGCATTCCGAGATCCGTTTGCAGGCTGGGAGCACAGCTGCGGTTGTAGTTGACCAGGGATTTCCGTCGGTCAAAGTAGGAGCCACTGGGGGATTCGAATATCAGATGAATGCGGAAATGGAAGGATGTATCGCCCAGGCATCCCGAGTTGGAATCGGGAAAAGCGAGGTAGCATATGTTGCTCTTGTCCTGCTCTGTCAACTGCACGGTCCCCGGACAAACGACCTGCAAATTGTATCAAACAATGCAATGGAGGCGCTGATGAATTCATCCTAGTTCTTCGAGCGACAACACTGACTTTCCACTTTCTAGATTCCAGTACATTATGTAAGACATGCATTACAAACCTCCATGGACTGTCCTAGCTCCAAATCGAACGTGACTACACAGAAGCATTGCATCCATTCCGAAAGCCGATCAAATAACAAAGCTTGATTTTTCGTCATCTTATTCCAGACGCGAGTAATCTCTTAATAAGACGAGTAAACAGGAAAACAAAAGTTAGCAGCTAGTGGCTACTTGCTATAGAATCGATGCACAATGGAAAATTCTTACATCTCGACTCATCGTCACAAGATACGGTACCACTACGCCATGCCATTAGTTATGGCCAACTGTCAATGGTAAAGAAAGTATTGCTGCACTCACACAGAGTGCAGAAATGACTTGAGTGATCTACTCGTACTATGTTTATCGCATTAATTTTGCTTTACCACCTTTTTACTTTATTCAGTTTATTGTATTCTAGCGGTAAAAATCATTTACAACTTTTTGAAAAAGAAAGATCTTTACTGATTACACCCGCTTACCTTATCTGATAATTACATTACATTACACAGTCTATTAGCCTTATTGATTACTGCACGAGCCATGATACCATTTTTTAAAAGTTATTTATTACTTACCATTTTATGATTAATTGATTCACGCATCTGCGTAGCAGCGCGAAAACAGTTGTGGTTAAGTTAACATGACAAGTTTTCTTTATCATTTCTCACAGTTCAGAACTTTTGTCATAACTGCGTCTTAACGGGATGAGTGATAAAAAAGACTTTTAGAATAGCAAGTTAGCAACTCACCATCAGCAGAATATTTTTTTTGCTGTATTTATCAATTAGTGTATGTACATCAGAACTGCGATATTCTACATGCACCATGCAGTACCAAAACAGAAAGTCTATGCAAATCGTGTATTACAAAATAACCGATACAAAACGCCGCACGCAAGATGTCGCTGAGAAAACTAATCACAATAAAACTTTAACCGGTCCAAGAAAAACAGGAAAGTGGTTTTACAGTTTCTCGCAGCAACCGGCAATATCCGTAAAAAAGCTTTTGCCGAAAAATTGTCAAATAGAGGACAATAAGTAAATCGCTGGCTCGCTTCCGGCGACCGTAACAACAGATGTAGCGTTATCCGGCAAAAAAGCACTTCCGTTTGGTGAAATATTTGTGGTCGAACCCGATACAATGGAACTGGATGGCACCGTAACATTAACCGTACCCTTCAGTACATCCAGTGTTACTCTTCCAAAATTCTCTGGGATGTACTGTTGCAGGGAATAACCTGTAGAATACGGAGTACATAAACTGATGCTAATGCGCATGCAAATGCAGACGACAAAACTAAAAACTGTCTTGCAACACAAAATTACAGGCACGCACACATACCTACAATTCTGCGTCGCAAGATTTGCAGTTGACCGATTAACAAACTGACAATTGCAAATCTTGCAGCACAACGATCATGGCCATTAAACATCATAATAATATTAGCCAAGTATGCTGCTTTATAAGTTTTTACAGTGTGAGCCTACACTTGAGCTTTAAACTATTGCACTATTGTTTCTCTATAATTTTAGAGCAGTGAAGATCTTCGGTGCTTCGTTTAAGGAAGTTGTCCATCTGTATGGTAAACTGCTTTCCCGTTCGTCATACCTGGGAAATCGGCCACGTATACAAGTGTTACGTTAGGATGAATTGTGCGTTTGCTTGCTGTTAACTCATTCGTCAAACGGTCAAAAGCAGTACGGTTCATAATCTGCGGAAGAACCCAGTCCACCGGTGAGAACAGTGACCATGGAGCTGTAACCAAATCGACATCCGGTCGAAAGATTCTTTGTTTGAATCCTCCGTTCATGGCGATCCATACATCAAAATACACAGCCAGTGTTTGTGAATGAGAGGACGTATTCGCTTTCGGAGACGCAGTTAATCTCTTCGCAATGCATTCAGCAAGTTGTTTGGCCAGATATGCCTGATACGAAAATCTATTATTTGCTGTCCAAATATCCGGTTTGAGGCTCCTTCTCTGGATAGAATGCGCCGATGATCGGTCTTCCAGGGTGATTTTCACATGTTGAATTTGCCACTGCTGCACCATCATATCCCACGAATATCCGTACAGTGAATTTGTCCATGTATTACAACCCTATAATGCCTGACATGGATTTAACTTAACGATGTTCCAAACTTTAATGTTTTACAAGAATTCGTAGGGCAATGGTCAACGAGCGAATGTTTGCGTACCTGGAATACAATGTGTGAGAAAGGCAGAAATATTTGGATACATACATAAGAAGAGATTATCAGTCCCAGTGCATATTTCCTAACCGGCTTGCATGATGGTTTCTGTAACCTTTCAATAGGTTTCCGACAGAAAACTTGATACCGCATCACTGGAATCTTTCCCCATAACAGGTGCATTGGTATCAATATTTCGAGCCATCTTCTTAAGCGTACATGTAAATCAACCGGCCAGCAGGGTGGAAAAAATATCAAAGAAAGCACTATCATGGCGTAAGGAAACATCCCTACAAAAAATAATATTCAGCTATGGCTAACTGGAAGCAAAACTGGAAAAATTTCAAATATGAATAAAGTATTAATAGGTGGAAATTCGCTGACTTTGTAATGTAACTAAACAGCGATTTCTGTGCAGAACATGTACAGAGCAGCCCGTGCGTGTGAGCATAATTTAAGCTACGTTCTGTACAGAATTATAAGTAATATAACCAATATTATACGTTTTTATTTCTGTTATTCTTTGAATGATGTCACACTGTTATACAGCTCACCTATTTCGAATACCGTGCAGTTGAGGAAATGAAATGCGCAGCATACAGCGTACGCATAAGCACGCGTTCGTCTCCAAAAGAGAAAGAATCCCACAGATAGATCGAAAGCAAATCCTATCCAGTGGATAAAATAAAGGTCTACTGAAGCTTTCCCCAACATTAGCCTGCAGATTGAATACAGGAATAAGACTAATCAAGAATAGCTTAAATGAAATTGGTTTCATTCCGTACCTCAAGGGAAAAAATGCCCAGTTCTCGCTCATACCGGAAACCGAATACCCTTTCAACCAGTCCACATCCCATTTCTTCAAACCTACACATTAAATCAAATCGTTAACGTTGTGTATATTTGGCACTTATCGTGTTGTTGCTGGCTATTACTTACTTTGCTAAATCATGATTGTGCAATAAATAGTATGGAAGTTTTTATGTTTACTAAAATGTGACGCATCCGGCATTTCACATAATAAACCCACGTACCGGCAAAGAAGTACACTATGAAAACTTGAAAACGTAGCAGGTGATAAATCCAGTTAGGCACAGTATAGTGTTCACCATCAACCGGAAAGGGTAATTTTTCTCTAAGGTTTGCACTCAGGACGAAAAGAAATGCTATCAGTCCAAAGAGATATGAATGATGATTCCACAAGCTGATGTCCAAGCAATACACATACCAAAAGGTCAAGCAGTACAACGTCGTGCATACGCTTGTTTTAAACTCAACCGTAATACCCAGAGTGCTTAAAAGCATTACGCTGTATAACGCCTTAAATCCATTAAGCGTAGGAAATGGCATGAATGGCAAAAGAGGAAAATGACAGCGTACTTGTGGACCCCATAATGCGCTGGGATTAAGCATTCCGCGCTCGGTTAATGTGTCGCCAACCATTAACAGGCCTGTATATTTCAAAATAAATTAATTTTGTAACTAATAAACAATAATAGATAGAAATGTTGTTCAAATAGTTGGCTACTGGTACAAAAGACGGTTTCGAATGTTGCTGTGTATATGGTTTTACACAAGGTTTACAATTACCAATGTTGTCGATATCTGTTATCTGCCTACCAAACATTTGTTTCTGGTAATAAGTTATAGGATAAAAGTGTAGGTTAACGATTGACGTCGTACCAAAAGATCTTCGGATCCATCGCAGACTTGCTTCCGGGCAAGCTTGGAACAAACTACGAATAAATAATTCCCTTATGGACAGACGATTTGTTCTGCAGTGAATTAAACCAAATCGCATCTTTTTGTGCTCTGCATTGTTAGAGTGCAAACAGTGGCCTGGATCTGATACCGTTGTACATGCAGATATGCATTTGCGTGATATGTAGATTATTGCAGTTATTGTATTTAGCATCCACTTTAGACAAAAGTGCAATACTATAAATACAACATATTGGAAAAACTAGATTATCTGCAGTGCTCATTGCGATCGAAAGCTATAACATTCCGATAGGCTAGAAGCCTAGAACAGTGAAGTAAAAATCGAAAATTATGACAAAGTCAGTTTGCCTCAGCTGGCGCGAAAATACTTTGCATGTATCAAGATTTCACGTACAAACGTTCAAAAGCAGGATCATTTTTCTGCCATGACATGAATCACTGTTTTTATTTAACTTAGTTTAATTAAACCCAAAGATATGCGGTAGCGCTCTTCAGTTTTATCCACATTTCAATCAATAGAGCGCATCGAATATGCGTTCCAACAAGCATGCATGTGGAGTAATAATGAACGTATTGTACACTTTGCAGTACATGCGTATGTCCGTAGATATAACAAAATCTCATGCTCGTCGGTCTTCAATATGTTCAAGCCCGTCCATATTGGCTGCACTCCTCTGTTTTAACAATAAAGTGAATATCCGTTTAAAATCACGTCTTTATTAATGGGATTTTCAAAAGCCAAAGAACGGCTACAACCGCGTATTTTTTAAGATGCGGAATTTTGAAATGTATGCGTATCGTATTTATATGCAATATCTGCACGCCACTCAGTGCACACTGTAAGTATGACATTAATAAGCTACGTACGTAGTTAATCATACTCTGATAATTTTTACCCATACGGCAACATGGAAAAACATTTTAATCGTACGCAGAGAAAAGGACTCGCATCATCAATAAGTATTATTATGTTCTGTGAACGCAATGGAATTGTGTGTAGTTTGCCCTTGCTACTAGGGTAGTACTTACTAGTACTGTATGTGTATCCGATCGTGTCCGACAATGTGGCTCGTTTGACCCCATGTGTCCTGGTAGTTAAGGTGTCCGAGCAGCAAAACACTCCGTATTTACGGCAACTGCCAGCCGAAGCGATCCTGCTTGATTCAGACCTAATTAGCCAACAATTAGACCATCAATGAAACTATACCAAGTCTGAATAATATGACAATTAGTAAGACGCTGGCGCAAGAAGAGCGGTGTTTGCCCAGTCATCTAAATTGGATCCGATGCCGCCGTGTTGTAAAACCATACCGCACCGCTGTTGTCCTTTAAGGACAATAGCGGTGCGGTATGGTTTTGGCGTTCACCTAATGCAAGTACTTTGCACTGTGCGCCTTCTGTTTCGGATTTACAGCAATTGAATGTAGAAACCTGAATGTAGAAACCTATAAGTTCTATTCAAAAATTATCTGTATAAAGTCTAAGGCAAGACTATCGACTGTAAATGTGAAATCCGAGGTTCCCTCGAATTATTCTCCTAACAGAAAACATTCGATTTAATTTGTAATTTAAAGGAAATGGCACTTTCACTTTTTTTAACCATTTTGAGCAGTTGATCTGTAACATATTTTATAGGGTACATAACATTCAGTACTCTTCAACCCTGTAAAAATATTCATTAATTGCTTGTAGACAGAATACAGCTTTTGCATATATGCTGTACTATCAATCATTTTTAAAACATCACAAACAAAATTCCACTGCGCTTATAATTATGTGCAACCCACATTTCGATCAAAATGACCACGAATATAAGGTTCCGCGTCTGCATTAAAGCAGACTCGGAATCATTCTGCCTGTAAGGGTTGTTGTGATGGGATAAGGGCAAGCACCACTTCTGCAAACCATTGCAATTGTTCTTCAAATGTATGGTGACCATTTGGAGAAACATAAAAAGTTTTATCGTCAATTAAGGCAAATTCTTACAGGATGCCGCTCAGCCGATATTTATCGCCAGCGCCGCGTATGGTCGCGCAGTTACTCGCGGTGGCATACATCTGTATGGTCTTATTAATGTCGAAGACAAACAAACAGTCTCGCACAAATCATAAAGCACCGGTGCATCTCTGTGGTGGCTAATGTCGTCCGTGTCCTGGGTTGACCACCACTCCACAGACACATTTAGGTAGCTTTACGATTATGGGTTTACGATCCCGGTACGTCTCTGTCAGGACATGTCGGCACGTTTTAATAGCCTGACCACTTCTTTAGAGGTACGAGTACGTATAATATATTATGCCCACAAGAAATGAACGATCCTTAAATCCCGACTGACACAGGATAACCTAAAACGACTGCAGTACATATACGCACGTCCAACCTCTGCGGTGGTTAACAATACTTCGATTCTTACGGGAAATTTTACTGTCACATTAGTGTCAGACATAAATTTTTTAAATGGCTTTCATTGTCGTATTGAAACCTTTTATCATTACCACATGATTTATACTGAAATGTACCGTCCTTTTGTGTAGCAGTGGGTGTTAACTGTTCAGCAGCCATTTTGCATAGTCGCCATAGTCTCTATTTGCGATCGAAAAATATGTTTGTCACCTGAAAAGCGCATTTCTGTTAGGATACCTGTATCGCTAGACCGACAAATGTGGACATGCACCAGCGCAGTATAAAGATATATGAAAAATGTCTTCGTTCGCCCATGTGTAATGAATACAAAGCTCTCAAGCTTGGCGTTTTTGTCAAGGTCTCGCCTAAACGTTAATGTAGTCGGCAACACATAGCGGAAGCGTATTTAATTTACGTCACGCTTCCGCTTGGTCGCCTCAGGTGGGTTCTTGTCGGCACATGATTTCACCAAGAAAAATTGTTATTATGCTGAATGTGATTTATATTCATCCTGAATGCGTACAGTTGTTGGTGAATTGCTTGCGCTATTCTACATATTACAAATTAGTTAAGTAATTATTTTATAAGTAACAAGCATTCTTAATATTCATAATAATTATATTGATGATGGTATGCAAGGATAGACTAGCTGATCCAATGCAGCAGTTTCAACTTCATAGCGCAATAATGGTATCTGTAGCGTAACTAACCTGTAATTAATGGTAAGCATATGTTAGGGAATCTAGTATAAAATTACGTTTCTCCTATATGTTTTAGATATAATAATGCACTTTACATAAAGAAAAAGAGTGAGGTAGAGTCTGGTAGACTATAAAATGTGTTCCTGGTAATGCCTGAACATCCACATACATGATATGCAACTGCAAGTAATTGTGCTGTTAATTTTCCTTAAGCTGACTACTGACACTGCCTATATTTTTGCATTCAGCTAATATAAAGAAGCACATTAACCATAAATATGGTTTTCCATTAAAACTGTTGGCGATAAAATTTCGTCTTTCGGTGACTCCTCGGTTGGTGTGAGTTTTTGAAGTTGTATGCTACGCCTTGTGAACAAATAACTTTAGACTGCAGTGAAGTTCCAAATGCACATTCTTAAGAAATTTATATAATAATTCTTAACTGTAAATCAAACAGCCACGCTGCACAGCCTGGTCATATGCATGATTAAGAAAAAGCCGATCATATATTGTATGTACATAACGGCAAAATTTCAACTAGTTGGCGTGGCATAAAAATATAAATAATTCAGCGGTTGACTGTGTCTGCGTCGGACTGCTGGTGGAAGTGCACAACCTCGGGAAATGTATGACAGTAAAATTGTCGTCAAACTACATAGATATTAATAGCTGTAGATCTAGCCAAGCCACAAATCCAAGATGCAATAAATTTTGCTAGTGTCTGCTGTGCATTTTCATTTAACCATGGAGCCGATAAACATCTTAATCTGTTGTTCGGATGTGTCAGCTGTGTTGCCGTCGACTGTAAAATTATGTGTTCACAATAAGAAATAATTTCAAGGAGGTGTGCAATATATACAAATTATCGTAACCATATAAACCCTTATTAATAATGTTTATGATCGAAACCGACCGATCGCTCAGTATTGGGGCATTTAAATTCCAGAGTACCAGTTACAGCTATTAGCTATACGTTGATCCTCTAACAAATACTTTTGAAATTTCCAGAATTCACAGACTGTTTGAGACAGACTAAATCTGCGTAAGGCGCCACTAAAATACGAAAGTGACCTATACAAAAATTAATAGCGTACAGTCATTTAAAATTCAGGTTCGAAAACATCAATAGCAAGCACAGTACCTTAGTCGTGACTTCTGTATAAAATTATGCAAAAATATTAACATTGACCGCTGGAATTGTTTCCGCCATTGATTTTTCGCGCATCACAACAATTTATCTGCAAATGGGACTGAATTCAAATTGATTACGTGGAAGCTGTGAGTAGCTAGATATTCTGGCAAATAAAACTAGGCGCACGCGCGCCTTTGAAGGAAAGAGAACATTTAAGCATCACCATGAAATTTTAACGGGTCATTTGTCCGATTCTAGTGCCAATTTCTACGCGGAACGTAATGGCTTTTACGACCAATCTTGTTAGTTCAATGGCAAATTGTCTTCATTTCACGAACGTAAAAGATATTTTACAAGGGAGTTTCGATGCCGGTGGTATGAAGATATCTTATTTCCCAACAGCAACGCTAATTACAAACACCAGCTGCTTTGTCCGATTTGCAGTTCAGTTTAACCCCGTGCTAGCCGACTCTGGAAGAATTATTGGCTATGTAATAACAAATTAAAATTTTAAAATACAGTTCGCCTGTTTTAATCTGCGAACCATGCGTACTAAGGAGCAACAGCTGTTATCTCTGCTCAAAAATGTTTATATATAGCTTTCGCCTTTCGGCAACATGAAAGCACGAGCCGACGTGATTCAAAAGGGCATTAACTGGTTTTCGTGCGGCAAAAATAATGAGTTATCTCGAGGCGTCGAATGCGACCTAACGAGTTCGCTAGTTTATAATGTCAAAAAGTTGATTAATGTAGAATAAAGAAATTATTCATGATTGTATTGCCAATAAGCTATTATAAATATTACTTGATAATGTCCGTTGATGTGTGGTTTACAAAATTTTAATTAAAAGCGACAGACCTTGTGATAAATGGAGTAAAAAAAGGTGTTCACAAACCACCCATGCAATGCAATGTTCCTGCGCTGATCAAAGAAACTTTACCTCCTTTGATTATGCATGCAGAATGCAGATATTGGATAGAAACGCATGTTGCTTAATGATATCGATATACAAAAGAAAAATCGGTCATTGGATCCTATGTAATCAAAAATTATTTGTGTATTCGTACTCAGTACGAATGTATTTGCTAAAACAATAACTGGATCTCTTAAAAATTGTGCCTTCATGCCCTTTTGCTTGTTATGCGCAGAATCAATTCCTCGACATTTTAAAACTGGACATGCTTGCGCACATCAGTGATCGCTGTTCACTGTTCAGCATACTTTTACTTACTTCAATTCGACCAGTTTATACGATGCAAAAAACCTCAATTTATGGCTGGCGCGATCTGATTCGTTGATTTTCGCTTGTCTCGACAACTGCTAGATAGGATTTCTTAGCTTCTTGCCTGGCCACTTACACACCAGTCCGTACAGTCTCGTTTCGTTAGGAGGTTTGTCATTGATTTCCTAGACCATCAGCGGCGTTATAGTCCGTATTGCGTTCTTTATGTAGCGTATGCGTATGCGTGCACTGTGCTTAGATTGATACGAAGTCGGTGCGCCAAATAGAAACCGGCATTAATCTCGTTTAGTGGATAATAAACAGTGCATGCGGACGAAATTTGACATTCGACAATTTCGTCGCAATATTCGCCCAGTAAACTGTTCAAGTTTTACGGATGCTTTGCACAGTTGCATATAAGCACTTGGCGCAGATGCCGTTTGGCCGGTTGCGTTGCACAGGGAGGACCAGTTTGATGTGCTGTTAAGAGTGATAGGAGAGCAAGCGATAAAATCCATATGAGTGGATCATTCGCGATTGTGGTTTTACTGGAAGTTAGTGTGCACATCTGATCTCATTGGGCGCGCAAAACCTATCACGGAAACAGGGAGTTTTCATAAAATTGTAATTGGTGTGCCACGCGAAGTCCCCATTTATGATGGACAATAATGAGCAGTATAAATTCTTCTCTAAATAATAATTTAGACTTTTATTGTGTCATAATCGTTAAGCTTATTGTCCATTGCCACTGTGATATATCCAAGCGCATCTAGCTGTTTTCGTCTGTCATCATCTCCTGCTGTTATATCCTGATAATACCCATCCAAACGTTCCTATTTGGCCTTTCAAAACGACACTTTTCCAGAAAAAATGATCGGCTCTTATTTTCCTAATCCGTCAATGTGGCAATCCTCGTCGTCCGCCGCGGCCACCGATGCCGCTGCCGCCGCGGCGGCACAGTATCCCGCGGCAGTTACCGGCAGTACCGCCGCTACACTACAGGATCACTATTCTTCCTACAAATATTCTAATGCGGGTGCATTCGGAAATGCCGCCAACACCGTGACCAGTGATTCGTATTTCGGCAATCCCAATCCGACGGCGACAGCCTACGGGGGCTCATTCGCCGTTTCGCCCTATGCTGGGTTAAGGTCACCGCATTCGCAAGTCAACGCCAGCGGCAAATCGTCAGCTGCAGCGGCATCGGATTCAACGTCTAATTGTTACTATCAAGATCCCAGAGGTTTCTCTCCACAGCACGCCGATACTCATCACAGTCACACTGGAATGGGTTATCCCGGAAACACCATGGCCGCCAATATGGCCATGGTGGCGGCCAATATGGCTGCATATCATGCGCATGCACACCACCACGCTAATCCCATCTCACCTACGCTCCCAACAAATCATCTGCAGATGGGCGCCGAATCTCCGAATTCCGTAGCGGCTTCGCTTGGTTTTAGCCAAAAAGTTCCTTTATACCCTTGGATGCGCACCTATGCAGGTAATCATAAAGTTCTGGGAAAAGCCGGAAAATGCAGCAACAATTAGAATACATTTTTGTTATAAATTTTATTTAAAATATGTTGACAGTTACCATTATTTTCGTTGAAAGCCAAATAAAGTTTGCACTACCATGTATTTACAGATATAAGCGCAGTTTAGTGGAATCTTCAGTTAGGTTTTAAAATTAATTTCTGGTTTAGTGAGAGCATGATTGCTAACACCCGTATAATAATGGGATTTGATGGGATTTGATAATGGGATTTCATGAGATAATGGGATTTGATTTTCTTCGCTATTTTTGCAACTATTTGACATAAACAGCAGCATCTTTGTATATTTATGCAGGTTATTTATAAAATCTAAAATGATAATTAATTACCTTGCGATAAAGTACATGCATCTACTTAAGTTAGAAAATATCTCATGCCTAGTATATCTCAACTGGAAATGTATTAAAGTAAGTAAGGGCTATGGTTATGTTTATGGTTTATAGCTAATAATGCGATGAGCTAAACAAATCAGTAAATAATATTGTGAGAAAAGCAAAGTCAAATGAAACCGCATATCTATAGAGACGACCAGAAATCGATGACCTTTGAATAAATTCTTGAACATCTGATTACGGTTATCGAAAACGCAATGTAATGTCAGCTATATCATATCGTAAAATTCGATAATTATTGGAAAGGATGGTTGTATATATGTAGGTAAAGCAGAAAACTATATAACATTGAAAGTGTCAAAGAGGAATGATTTTCAAACAGTCTGCAAGAGCACCCTGCAAATGAATACTCGAAATTCAAATGATGTCAGAAAGAGATTTTTTGGCAGTTTTGATATACTGATCTTACTGTTATCGTTGTTTGCTTTACTTATTAATCGTTCTTAATCATCTTATTGAAATATTCTTTATAAAACAAATGCAAAAATTGTGGGCGCGCTAACGTCTTGAACGAACGGCAAGGATTGCTGTTTATGCTAAAATTCGAGAGTTGAGGCAAATGCCGTTCATACGTGCATAGCCGCCGCAAAAAAACTGTAAACAATAATTAATGACATTTTTATTGGTAGGTGAACGATTATCATTAAGACAAGCACTTTGAAAAGTCAAAGAAATGCATTTCAGCAAAAAGAGAACAAGTTATCTCTGTAATGCTTTAAATTTATGGTTATGTGGCAGGTGTAATCGTCATGACAGGCTAATTGCCAATAAAATCAGCATTTGAAGGCCAGTAAAACCTAGTACTTAGATTTTATTACTGCAAACAGGGCTCTTCCTTATTTTGATACTTCATAAATTTCTTGCTTATGAATTCAGCACTTTAATGAACCATTTGGAGATTACTTTATGACCGGTTTTTTTCTAGACGGCGGATTTGGCAACAAGCGCACGCGTCAGACGTACACCCGTTATCAGACTCTGGAGCTCGGTGAGCACTGAGCAGTCAATAAATCATAGCGGCTTGAAAAATATCGCCGAGATATTTAGCAGTGCATTAGATATTTTTTTAACCGTCTGTGTCTTAAACAGAAAAAGAATTCCATTATAACCGATACCTGACTCGCCGGCGGCGAATCGAGATTGCCCATTCGTTAGGCTTGACAGAGCGGCAAATAAAAATTTGGTAAGTTTAAACAATACAAGCGAGTTCACTGTATAACTGGCAATTTGATCGATTATGAAACATTCGGTAATTAACAGGTTCCAAAATCGCCGTATGAAATGGAAGAAAGAGCAAAAATTGACCAGCCTCAATCAGCAGCCCGACAGTCCCGACGGATCAGGAGCGGCCGCTTCCTCCACGGCAACCAAGACAGAGCCCAAGTAGTCACATGCTCCGCACTGATTGCCACAGTTGTACGTCACATCATACCAGTTATCTCCCTTGTTCTGCTGCCACACAACGAACTTGTCTAGTGCATCTTTTGGTCTCCGTTTTATTATTTTTTTATCTCCTGCATGTCAGTTGTTTAAGTTTTGTAACCTTTGCGATTAATATTCGTAGTATTAACTGGAATTTCCGGTTTCGTTTGGCTTGACCTTAATTGTTACTGTTGCATAACTGTTACGTAACTAGAGTTCAAATGTTGAGTGCTTATTACTGATATTGCACAAAATTTGCTGATACATTTGGATTAAATCAACCCGAATACATGATTTCATAAAATATATGGGAATCCGGAATTGTCAAATAATGACGATAATTCAGATACGAAACTGACCTTTATTGATTATTGGTTTGCCATCTCAGTATTTTTCTCTTACGTTTTGCAATTATGGTTAGGACCAACAATAAAGTTAATTTTTTAACATGTATTATATATTGTAAATTTGATACACACGAAATTATGAACGCAGGCTGCTGCAAGCACTTTTTACTGCTTCCAGTATTAACATATTGGCAAGCAGGGCTGTCATAAGTTACTATTAACAGCTGTATCAGCCACCAACAAACATTTACGACTTCAGCTTTTGATTAACAACCATTCTGCGTATTGGATGCAGCTGGTGTGGACTTTACATGTGGAAACATTCGAGTTTTCGGTTCTCCACTTAATAAAACTAATGGAAGCTTGAGTGGTACGCGACACAGTAATGTACAGAACATACTACGTAATGCGTTGCATCATATTGTACAACACATTGTGCTAAGTATACTACATAGCTGTATATCGCTACATAACAGAATTTGTGATACAAGTAGTTTGGTACAATACAATCGCACAAACACGTATGCCGTCTTAGGTCGCACGATCCACGCTGAGCGCGTAGGAAATTTCATAGAGAAATTAATGGAATGGAAGAAAATCATGCGCCACAGGAAAGATAGAAAGACTGTAGCCCACATTTTGCGCTCCTCAGGGTATAGTTAGAGGAGCTTTCTTGATGGTGGTTTAGGAGTTGAATATGGCCGGGGCTCATTTATGGATAGATATCTCCAGCTCAGATGAGCAGGAAAGCCATAAATGTCCAACCGGTTACAGCCATGCCCTGCCGAGTGATGTGCAATTGGTTTGATTTATGTGTGACCGTGCCGGAGCTGTGCAGCCAAGAGACAAACATAATTTATAACGGTTCTTTTTGGAACGGATATTTGGGCTGCAGCGAGTGTAGCTGGGCTGAAAGGGATCAAGACGCGCACCAGGGACAGCGAGCAGATCAGCTGCACATGCCAATGTTGAAAGCAAATACCAGAGGGAGAGGATAGGCGAGCACGCAGCGTGACAAACGTTAGCTTGGCAGGAATGAAAGTCAAATCGATTTCCGAAACCAAATTTCCCCAAACCAGTCTGCTATGCAGTATGTAGCATAACAAGCTCAAATCTCGTTTTTCGGATACCACTAGCTGCTTCCCAAGAAACACACCACCAGTGCAGCGTTGAAAGTGCGGTGCACTGTTCTGTTGGTTTGCAGATATGTAGACCGGTAAGCCTGATACAGATTGCGGAACAGCCGCATTACGCAAAGGTCACGAAGCAGCATTACATAGGACAGCGTCTTTTTGCAGGCATGAGACGTCGTTTTCTTCGACTGCCTTTAAAACTCTTTTTTCTTGCTTTCTCAGATGGTAAGTTGTTTACAGGTAATGACGGAAAGCCAGCTCCCTCGCTGATGACCATTTGAACTAACTGGTTAATAAAAAAGCTCGCTAGCTCTTTATACTAAAGTGCAATGGAATAGTCCACTACAACAAACGAAAAAAACATGACAAGATATATAGTGCAGACAAAAAATAAACTACGGTAATTACATACTGCATGCCCAAATCTCCAGGCGCGGCTGTTTTGTATTAATTAAAGTTGCACCCATAAACACCATAAGAGGCAGCGAAGATTTTGCACTTACTTTATTTATCCCTGGGTATTAGGATACTCAAAATTAGTGGACTTGGGCTGAAACTTTAATTTTAAATTAATTCAGTGATGACATTGCTTGCGTTCCAATTTGCGCATACCATTTTTAGTAAACGGTACGTATATATTTGAACCCTTATTGTATATGTACAAGTATGTACTCATGCTACTTTCATTGCACTCGTTAATCAATATAAGTAATATTGTTGACATTCTAATAGACAATAGCCATCATACAACAAAAAGTGCGAAAGCCGGCATATGATTTTGTCCATTATGCGTTATTGGAAGTTCTGTATCCTTGCCAATAATATTAAAATCGCATACAAGTTACCACTCAGAAATTTCTTTTGCTCATGAACTTGCCCAAGATGGCCCATCAGTTTTATCTTTCATTGATTACTTAAATTTAAACGTTTCTACGAAAAAGCTGTGGATCTGCTGTCACCTGACAATGAGCTTTGTCGGATCATGCGTTCAAGAAAGTGTACATGGAAATTAAATTTACTGGTGAAGAGTGTTATTGTGAATAGTTTGACAAGAAGTTCCAAACTTCGAAGTAAATTCCATAACCGCAACATCACTTAGGAAGTTAGGAGTAAAGATTGCTGGTATCTTGTGCGCCGCTTGGTAACTTGGTTAGATTGTATTAGTCAAGATAAATAACTCCTGCAGCACCCTTCATAAATAGACTTGTCACTTGTTTCTTTGATTCTTTGATGGTTAGTAACAGCGCATGGTAATCGTAGGGCCGGAAGCATAGGTAACGTTTTTTGGGATGAGTACATAAATAGACTAAAATAGTTAAATACATAACCATGCATCTACTTATGTTTGCACTTTTGGAATATTCTATTCAGTCGATAGATGGCAGCACATGCATGAAACGAAAGCACCGCAGCAGTTCTTTTTTACGCTGGTTCTGGGCCTTCTGACCACTGACCACAGCATATTAATTATTGCCTTTTCTATAAGGATGACACTGTTGGCACCTAGGAACATCTAAACGGAACATCTTCACCTGCCTGGACGTGGACGAGCGCATCGCCTGCCGGCTCGTGTGCGCCCACTGGAACGCCGTCATCGCGGAACTGCCCACGAGCACCGTGTGCATCTGCCCGGCCAAACACCGCGAGGAGAAATTGGCCCTGGCCCTGCACTTCCGTTTACTACCAGCATCCCTTTTTGCACCCCGTTTTATTACAGACACTCCTTTTCAATTACTTAAGACCGGCACCCCGTTTTCTCGCCTACTATAGGCACCTTTTTATAGCCATATATTTAAAACCGATTATTTTGACAATTTTTTTCGCTCAGTCCGCGCTGCATTTCCAACACTTGAGAACGAAATTTAAGGTAACAATACTAGAAATTTGAGACAAGGGTGCTACGCACTCATCCAATTATTCTACACATTCACAACCACAGCCTGTAATGTTTTTTGGTACGGATTAATACTTACCTGTTGTCAAAATCGGAAGATTTAGTGCAGTATAATTTTTTTGGAGATAGACTGATGCGTACCAAAACGCTCCACAAGAAAGCTATTTTCTGACCGTGCATTTTCTTTGGAAAGATTACTTGTTTATTGTAAGCAGAAGTCTCAACTGACATTGTTATAATTACTACAAAATTAATCAGATTTTACTGCATTTCTCCAACATTATGAAATTACACAAATACTTACGACACCGGTACTGCTGCGCTTTTCGAAAAAATTTTCTTAGGTCAAGAATATTTGACCAGGTCGGATAAAAGTGGTTTACAGATATTATAGGCACTATATATTATAGGCACTATAGGTACGGTAGTTCCCATAGCCAACGAAAAAGGATGAAAGCATTAAAATAAATGAAAATGAGTAAATGGGGGTGCGGGGTGCCTATAGTGAGCGGGGCTGAAAGGAGTTGCCTCGCTTAATTTACTGCAGTTTGGAGTTGCTCAAAATTTACAGTAACTGGCACACAGATCGACATCGTTTGCGGGAACAACTGAAACTAAAATATGTTAACGGATGAAATATGGAGCATCTCTCTTCGTTGTAACACGAATGCTAACGCTTCCTTCCGCAACATTGACTTCCTTAACCTTTTTCCCGACACGCCCTCAAGAAAATTAAATGGAATAGGCTTAAAGCTGCTGAACTATTCACATTAATTAATGTTAAACTCTTTACATTAATATTAACTCTTCATTTATTAAGCTAATGATGTCTGCAGATATTACAGCTGCAGCTGTCTGTTTTTTTGCCTGTCACATTGTATGCCTTCTCCGCCTACTCTAGTTAGAGTGTCCAGAGACCATGGAGATGGTTGTACAAGCGAATTTTGTGGGACGAAGCGCGTTTTCCGCATTGCAACTAATTCAAGTAACGGAAGTGCTAGCAACCCGCACGCAATTAAATATATTTGTCGAAATGCGGCTTGCGAAGTCTGAGATGGAATCATGGAAGTAGGTACATAGTCGTACCGCACACGACACGTAAAACGAAAATTGCTAACCCGAACGTTTACCGCCCTTTTTATTGTATACTCGTACCTGTGAGTGAAGTGCAACTCATCGAGGTGAGTTGCACAACCGGTCAGCGTGACCTTAGTATCCTAGAGTAGCGTCACTAGCGTGGAATTTAGAGGAAATTAATTCCAATGTGGCCAAACACGAAAATTTAGAAAACATCTGCACTTACATTGGCAATTTGTTGTGCCCAACTTTCCATAAACTATAAAGAGCAATCACGGTCGACACAGCATTAAATTATATATGTGCTTGCATCGGTAGATAACGACAACTGAGTTCGCACAATCCATAATTCATACTTACTCTAGTACTCGTATACATATAATACGGTACTAATCATCAGATAGATAGATATAAGGGCGTTTTTAGGTAAGTCGTAATGCAGTACCTACGTACTCTGTAGGTTTGCAGTATGTCCGGCATAATATAAACACCACTAATTCAGTAAATGTACTTTTCGTCCTGTCTCCTATCGAATATTCCTGGACCAGGGCTGTAGTACCATACCAATTTCTAAGTCCTAACTAGGCAGACGGTTATAAACAAGTGACCGGTAGCCTGTGTCAAACGCAACAACCGCAAGCACCCGGCGTTCGGCCGGAGTGCCGGGATAGTAGAGAAACTAGATTTCGCGACTGTTTTCCGGTAGCTGGCGTTTGGCCGGAATGTCGGAGTGCCGTTTGAAACACATGGTAGGCGGTATGGTGTAAAAAGGAACAGTAGGAAACCACCTGACAATGAGTACCGCCGGCAGTATAATCGGCAGTGTTATATGCATGGTTGC